CCAAACTCATTTCAGGACGCAAGACTTCGCGCGAAAAAACACGAGGCAAACAATCTGAGAGGCGTAGCGTTAGCCATATCCGACACCGTATCTGCTGTCGCGTACCCTGAACCCCCACAGCTGAAGCAGACTGTGTCCTCAAACACGGCGGTTATCAAAGACCTGCAAGCTGAAGTCACCCGGCTCAAGTCGATGCGGCCGCCGANTAGGGAGACAGGTCGATAGCACACCATTAGCTGAAGAAACTCATGAAGCACAGGATGCCCGAGTTGATTTAGCCCCGTATGTGCATGACAGTAGCAAATCGAGGGAATCATTTTTTCCTCGGGTGAGAGGTGGTGATGTGACGTCCGTTCAAGATTTTAGCAGTAATTCTGAGACATCGGTAACAGATTCTGCCCAGACACCGTTTCATTGTCGGTCAAGTAGCACAGCAGGGAAAAATAGGAAGAACAAACGCACTCGTGAGCCGACTTTTAGGTTTGCCCCGCAAGCTGAATTTGTACTGACTGGTAGTATGCCATTTAATCATAACACGGAAAGACGTGCCTTTGTTCCAAGTGCATCGATTGGTGGACCCACTTATGCGGCGGTTCATGCGTCAGCACTGAGTAAATATCCACAACATCCAAATGCATTAATTTCGTCCTCCAAGAGAGTGCGAATTCCTGCCCAAGTTTGTAATCACGCTGTGTCTGACCTCACTATCGACACAGCAGCTGATGTACCATGTATATCAGCGTCTTTTATTAAATCGCATCCAGTCCTGCAACGTTTACCTCTGAAACCTGCGCCTGGCGCAATTCAGTTGAATAGTGCAGATGGCTCAGCGTTAGAAATCCTNTTGTTCCAAGTGCATCGATTGGTGGACCCACTTATGCGGCGGTTCATGCGTCAGCACTGAGTAAATATCCACAACATCCAAATGCATTAATTTCGTCCTCCAAGAGAGTGCGAATTCCTGCCCAAGTTTGTAATCACGCTGTGTCTGACCTCACTATCGACACAGCAGCTGATGTACCATGTATATCAGCGTCTTTTATTAAATCGCATCCAGTCCTGCAACGTTTACCTCTGAAACCTGCGCCTGGCGCAATTCAGTTGAATAGTGCAGATGGCTCAGCGTTAGAAATCCTAGGATACATCCGTTTTAAGCTCACACTGGGAGATATCAACCAGTGGAGGCCCTCGTTTTGCCCAACCTAGGTCCGGAAAAGATGTTGCTCGATAATAGCATTACGAATGCCTTTGGTGCCGACCTTGATTGGTGCGGTGAGCAACTTTCATTTACAAATTCAACACGAAAAATTCCGGCAACTCACAGACGTACGAATAGTCAAGTGGACACCAAGAATGATGCCCCAGCGCAAATTTCCATAGTGACGCGTGACCCATCGATAGGAGCGGTGCCCGTATATCTCTCTAAGAGATTATGCATCCCCCCCGAAAGTGAAATGGCAGTAGACGTCGTGACAGAACACGCACCACAGGCAAACACGCCTGCGTTGGTCGAGCCACGGATTGTCACTGCCCAAGACATCGAAACGTCTGAAAATATACCCGAAGCGTTCCGTACAATCGTAGTCGCTAGAACGGNGAATGATGCCCCAGCGCAAATTTCCATAGTGACGCGTGACCCATCGATAGGAGCGGTGCCCGTATATCTCTCTAAGAGATTATGCATCCCCCCCGAAAGTGAAATGGCAGTAGACGTCGTGACAAAACACGCACCACAGGCAAACACGCCTGCGTTGGTCGAGCCACGGATTGTCACTGCCCAAGACATCGAAACGTCTGAAAATATACCCGAAGCGTTCCGTACAATCGTAGTCGCTAGAACGGTATGCAATTGGTCAGCAAAGGACAAGTCCGCTGCAGTACAAGTTGCTAATCCATCCAAACGACACGTTCACATTGCACGCGACACTATTTTGGGGTACATTTCGCCAGTAAAATCGGTTGCCGATAAAACAGTTAGCGCTGTCAATAGCGACCAAACCACATTCCGACACAAGCGAGACGAGTTGAAACGAGCCATGAAAAAAGCGTTCACGAACACTACATTTACTCCTCAACAATGCTCGCAAGTCTTGGATTTATGCGCGAAATACCGTAATGTGTTTTCATTATCTTCGAAGGAGCTCGGAAAATACAGGATAGCCAAGGGAGGTTTTCCGCCAGAACCAGGCACTACACCAGTCGATCGTGCTCCCTATCGTACTAATCCTAGAGCGCAAGAAGTTATCGACAAGTGTATGGAACAAATGGAAGACGAGGAGATTATTGAACAGAGACCCAGTTCATGGGGATCTGCTGTTCCCATCGTAGCAAAGGCTGATGGCACTCCTCGATTCTGCGTTGACTACCGCTCTACTATTAACAANTCGAAGGAGCTCGGAAAATACAGGATAGCCAAGGGAGGTTTTCCGCCAGAACCAGGCACTACACCAGTCGATCGTGCTCCCTATCGTACTAATCCTAGAGCGCAAGAAGTTATCGACAAGTGTGTGGAACAAATGGAAGACGAGGAGATTATTGAACAGAGACCCAGTTCATGGGGATCTGCTGTTACCATCGTAGCAAAAGCTGATGGCACTCCTCGATTCTGCGTTGACTACCGCTCTACTATTAACAAGAGTTTAATTCGAAAATCTTGGCCCATGCCAGATATAGAATCCCATATTGATACCGTTGGAGGTGCGAAATTTATTACTGTCTGCGATATTCAGTCAGCCTACCACCAAATTGAAGTAGACGAAGCAGAACAAGAAAAGACCGCTTTTGTGACCAACAAAGGAAAAGGGGTTTTCAAACGCCTCCCCTTCGGAATTGCGAATGCTCCTTTTCTGTTTGCCCGTATGATGTCTCTGGCATTCTCTCACTTCGGACCACGCAGTGGACTTTTGGTGTACATGGACGACATTATTTGCTGCAGCTCAAATTGGGAGAGCCATCTAACCTTATTAGAAAGCATGCTCCAAGCACTCCAAGCGGCCGGTCTTACCTTGAAACCCTCTAAAGTACAATTTGGACCACAGGAAGTAAAATACCTGGGGCACATACTGTCTGCAAAAGGGATTCGCATTGGGGAAGATCGTATACAATCTATTATCGACTTGCCTGTACCCAAAACAATNTAGTACAACTTGGACCACAGGAAGTAAAATACCTGGGGCACATACTGTCTGCAAAAGGGATTCGCATTGGGGAAGATCGAATATAATCTATTATCGACTTGCCTGTACCCAAAACAATCAAAGCACTTCGCTCAGTATTGGGAATGGTTAACTATGTGAGGAAATTTATACCCGACGTTTCTACGGTCATTGCGCCGCTAGTCGAACTCACAAAAAAAGAGCATGTAAAATCAATCGCAAAACGTTGGAACCAGGAACATGATAAAGCTTTTGCAGACATCAAACGTTTACTCAGCAAAGCACCTGTGTAATGTTTCCCTGACTTTACCAAAGACTTCGTGTTTCACGTAGATGCTAGTGAAGTTGGTGCAGGAGCATTCCTGGGCCAAAAGAACGGCGACGATGTGAATATTATCGCTTATTTTAGCCAACGATTTAACAAAGCTCAACGTCATTACTCTGCGACGATGAAGGAATGTTACGGTGTGGTCTTGAGTTTACAACACTGGCGACCCTACTTGTGGGGCAGACATTTCGAGGTTGTCACGGATCACGCGGCATTGAGACATTTGTACACTATGCAAGATACGTCGAATATACTGACCAGATGGGCAATCGCTTTGCAGTCCTTTTACTTTACAGTGCGACACAAGCCGGGAAAGTTACATGTAGTCCCAGACACCCTATCGCGGTTGTTTGCGTTCGATCACCAACAACAGTTGGAAGCACCGCAACTTGCACCGATATGTAGGAATGTGCCTGATGACCCTGCGCTGCACTCGAATGTTCCATCACGTCCGTACCAAGTGTCTGCAGATCGATTGGATAACTTGCGACCGGTTCAAAGTGATCGCGAATTATTCGCTGAGGAATCAGTTTATATTAGCGCGACCAACGTATTTGAAACTAATAACGACGATATCTTGCGTGAAAAACAAGCTCTTGAATATGGCACATATGTCGACTATCTTACAAAAACTGACGCCCAATTACCTGATAACGAGACAACCACTTCCTTCCATGTCGTACTACTTCGTGCGTGATGGATTGCTGTTTAAATCGTATTTACCAGGCTACCTCCGGAAACGTGGTACGTTTAGTGACCAATTAGTGTTGCCTTAGGCCCATACCGGACTAGTGCTGCACGCCTATCACGACCACGTATTATCTGGAGGCCACTTAGCGTCTAGACCGACTTATGAGAAGATCCGCCAGAAATACTGGTGGCCAACCATGAATCGGGACGTCCGTACTTGGTGTGAACAATGCCAAGCTTGTCAACGTCGAAAAACAGCCCACAATCGAAACAAATTACCAACGGGACATGTACCAGTACAAAGACCGTTCGAACGTATTTCGGTTGACCTAGTTGAATATAAAGTAGAATCAGTTTCAGCCGCCGGGGTACGGTGCAAATATGTCCTNGCAATCGAAACAAATTATTACCAACGGGACATGTACCAGTACAAAGACCGTTCGAACGTATTTCGGTTGACCTAGTTGAATATAAAGTAGAATCAGTTTCAGCCGCCGGGGTACGGTGCAAATATGTCCTATCCATGATGGACCACCTAACCCGATTCACCGTGTTGACTCCGATTCCCAACAAGTCAGCAATCACTGTCGCACAGGCCATTATCGACCGCATCATCAGCATCTTTGGATCGCCTGAAATGTTGCATTCCGACCAAGGACCTGAATTTGAGAACAGTGTCGTCCAGCAACTACAGCGTATTCTGAACTACAAGAAAACCCGCACGACACCGTACCGTCCGCAAGGTAATTCTGTTTCAGAACGAGTACATGCTACCATGCACGCAATGCTTGCCATGCATAGTTCCATGAACCGCGATAACTGGGCATCACTGCTGCCTTTTGTCCAACTGGTTTACAACACGTCATTTAGCTCCACCATGCATGAAACACCATTATTTCTTATGTTTGGACGGAAGCCACGACTACCAGTTGACATTATTCTCGGCATCCCTCATGTGGGAACAACAGCAAATACCGAGGAATTCTCTAAAACTACACAAAAAAAATTTCAGGTTGCTTTTGAACTAGCGCGCCGTAACCTATCGGAACGCACACAAAAACAAGCTGCCAAGAACGCTCAACTGCGCCCTACCCCTGTGTTTAATCCTGGTGATCTAGTACTTGTGTACCGCCCATACCAGGATTCGGATGGACCAAATCCGAAATTATTGTTACCGTGGAGAGGACCTTACGTCATCTGCTCTAAATTATCACCGGTGGTATATAGAGTGAGACGCCAGAACGAAACTCGAGAAGTTTCGGTCCATTTTGCCCACACTAAACAATACTACGCAAGGAAAACGCCACCTGCGCCAGACTTTGATAAACTTTCCGAGTTTTTCTTAGGACGCCAGATTCCGTTGCCCAAGCTAGACCATCCCGACGAAGCTCAACCGAAAATTGAATCCTACGTCGTTGGTAAGCAAGAAGAGTGGTAGGGGGGCGAAAACCCCGTACAACTACAAGTATCGTTTGCGTCTTCGAGGATACGGCCCTGAGTCAGACCTTGAATATAGAGCAGACGAAATTCCACAATGTCAAGGGATGATA